GCCCACCGATACTGAATTCCATTGATTTGAAGAAATGAGATGAGCTCCTTGTAGCTTTTCCTCTTTTGACGTATTTCAAATGGAATGTCTTTTAAAGTTTTGATGGTTATATTCCCAGATTTCAGTGGATTTGCCGAAGTTGCCTTTAATATTGCATCTCTGGTCTGTCGTCTCGCAAATCTAATCTCTCCAGGCAGGCTATTTTTCTTTATATAATTGGAGTATGCCCTATAGGCAGTTTTCTCCATTTCTAAGTCTTGATCCTTTGCTTTGTTTTCTATAAAATATCCAAAGTAATTCTTTCCAAAGACAAATATACAAAAAGCAACTCTAAATGGTCAGGTATAATTTGTAGTCTGTTCAAATCATCATTCAAAATCCCACTAAACCAGTTTCCAAGAAGGTGTTAGGGTGGAACCTTAATTTAGAAAAAAAATGAAGCTTCTCTGATCTGGGAGAACTGGGTTTGATTCTCCACTTCTCCACATGCAGCTGCTGGTGTGACCTTGAACTTGATCCAGTGCTCTGCTGGAAGCCAGTGCAGCTTGCGCAGCACAGGTTGAATATGTGCCATCTGGGGGGTCCCAGTAAGGACCCATGCAACTGCATTCTGGATCATCTGGAGCTTCCGGGTTAGTCTCTAGGCCTGCATAGAGTGAGTTATAGTAATCTATCCTGGAGGTGACCATTGCATTGATTACCGTGGCTAGGTCAGGGTGGGATAAGTAGGGAGCCAGTTGCCTGACCTGGTGTAGTTGGAAAAATGCCATCTGAGCAGCCTTCATGACTTGTGCCTCCATGGATAACGAAGCATCCAGTGTCATACCCAGACTCCTGGCGGTCAGTGCCTGTGTTAAGAGTACTTACGGGAGCTGGGTACCCAATCGTGCCCTCCCCTCGCCCAGCCACAGAACTTCTGTCTTACTAGGATTCAGTTTCAACTGGCTCTGCTTTAACCACCCCACCACAGCCTCCAAAGCCTTGGTTAAGTTCACGGGAGCGGCATCCAGTCGGCCACCCAACAACAGAAATAGCTGGGTGTCGTCAGCATACTGGTGACATCCCAGCCTGAAACTCCGCACCAGCTGGGTGAAGTGGCACATTTAAATGTTAAATAAAATTGGGGAGAGGAGTGCCCCTTGAGGGACCCCACATACCAGCGGGTACCTTGGGGACACCTTCTCACCCAGCGCCACCCTCTGTCCCCGACCGTGAAGGAATGAGGTAAACCATTGCAGGGCCACCCCATGAACTCCAGCGTCAGCAAGGCGGTGGATCAATACATCATAATTGACCATATCAAATGCTGCTGTAAGATCAAGTAATAGCAGCAGCACCAACCCGCCTCGATCTAGCGGCCTGTAGAGATCGTCTGTGAGGGCGACCAGTGCCGTCTCCATCCTGTGTCCAGGGCGGACTGGAATGAATCCAACACCGATTTGTTATCCAGGAATTTCTGACGCTGCTCTGCCACCACCCTCTAAATTACCTTACCCAGAAATGAAATGTCACCACAATGTGTTCTTCCTGGCTCAGAATTTGGTTTATGCAGAGGTCTCATTTTGCCAGTCTTTCTGGCATTGTTCTCCTTCATTAGTGGTTACAGTAATTATCACTAGTAAAAAGCTCATGAAAACTTCACTACCTGGTGAAATTCTAAGCCTTTAAGATGGCTCCTGGCAAATGCCTCCGGGTTAGGAATCTATGCTGTGCATATGCTGTTCACCAGAGCAGTGATTAAGAAATGATGGCTCTTGTTAAAGGGGTAGTTTAGCATGCTTCTGTCAGCAGTTCTTTTGGCAGGCTGGGGCTGCAAACAGAGACTGAGCCCTCTCCTGCTAAGAGATGAACTGGTTTGCCAAAAATAATAGTGATGCTGAGGCATGAAAGGGATCCAGATTGCTGCTGACATCTTCAGAAATCTGCCTGGGATGGAGTTGTGTTCTGTGCTTGAAACATGAGTGTCTGTTAGGCCCTCCTGATGACAGTGCCCTGTTGTCTGGTTGAACAAAAAAGGGCTAGAATTTGTTCAGTTGTTGCATCTACTGATGCAGATTTTGAGTGTTCATAGAATAATTAAGTTGACATATTTTATTGAATTATTTTAAAATTTTAAATGTTCAATTGTTTTAGTGTTTTTATGTTTGCTGCCTTGGGGACCCTGATTGGGTAGAAAGGTGACATAAAAACATTTTAAGTAAATAAACTCAGTATAGTCTCCAGTGCAGTGAAATGGGAACATTGTGGGAAGGGAGGAATCTCAAAGGAAAAAGTTCGGAAGAAGAAAGGAGAGGAAGAGTCAGCATAATGTATTGTGTAATTGATCTGAAAACTGTGCTGTGTGACTTCTTAATGTCTTCCCTCTTTCTTTCCCTTTTCTGATTTTAGCCTGCCACCTTCCAGTGGTCGGTCAGTGGTAGAGTAAAAGGTGGTAGAGCAGTTATATTATATATATTATAGGAAACAGGAAAGCTAATCCAAAAGCAGCAATCATTATATTAGGAATTTCAAAAAGTGATAACCCATTCAGTATAGGTTGGTAATTACACCGAGCCCTTCTATGGGTTAGTATGACTGCTGAAAAAAGCTTTATGTATTTTTGTGGCTCGGATACAAACCAAAACATGGGACATCTAATTTCTTCAGAGGAATTGGTGTCCATGCCTACTGTTTTTGTTACCAACAAAGAGAGGCAGCCTTGAGATTCTGCATTTGGATGCAGAATGTGGGAATAAAAGGGGAAATAGAAATACAATACCTACCCTTCCCTAATTTCCAGTGATTTGGGAAATCCATTGATCTTTGCCCCAGCTGTCTACTGGACAGGGCCGAACCCTCCAGAAGCAATCTCTCCCCATAAAATACAGCACATTATGATTTATTTTGCCCACTGTAAACTTCGTAATATAAGGATACTGCTGTGTACTATTGCTGAACTCCTTTCAGTTCTTTATCATGGGCCTTTAATGCTGCTCGTTAGTCTAGTTTCTGGCATTGAACAAGAACCATGGCTAGTCAGTGAAGAGATCTATTCTACTGATGTAGAGTTTGTAACTAGTGACTGGCACGGTAAGTAACAAGGCTGTAAACAACCTCTTCGTACTAATTATTGTCATTTGCTAATGTCACCGTGTTATGTTGATCAGTGAAGTTTTTGTGGATGCTATTTTTATGTGTGCTTTAATAACATCTCATCTCTGACCAGATTGTATAGGTCTTCATTTTACATGATTTATCACGTCCTCCATCTTTTGCCAACCTCTCATATGAGGTTAGCAGACTCTGTGGTGCAGTCTTCATATTCCTCACTTCTGAGTTTCTGGGCAGCTTCTAAATCTGATAGATGGACTTACTCTGGTTATCCTCACTGCTCGTTTACATGATGCCACATATTCCGATACTTGGACAGCCTGTGCATTGCTAGAGGTCCATGTATATTTACTGAGAAATCAGTGCAGCTGTGTTCTGTGGGACATATTGTCAAGTAAGAGAGCATTGTAGTCTTAGCACTTGTGCTTGGATTCAGTATTCGATGGTAGACCTAAGTTATCCACTAATGCTGTTTCTCTCTTTCACACCCCAACATCTGCAATCAAACTGACCCAGTCACTATGGCTCATAGCCTGCTTTAGCCCTTCCCAGGCCATAACACAAAGGGCATGGCCTTCCTGGCTCTGTTTTTTTGTTGTGGTGGGTGGCCGACATGGAGAGATGGACCTTAACACTCAGAACTCAATGTCCTTCGTGCCAGAGAAAAAGCACAAACAATCCAGGGGTATGAGTCAGCAGCACCCTGTTTTGTTTGCAGTATGGATGCACCAGACAGCAGTGTCTGCTGCTAATGCTGCCTCTGGCAGATTTACAGTGCTGAGAGAGCCTGAGGAATTTTTTGACCCCTTTGGGGGAAGGGCGGAGCTTGAATTGGCTGCCTGCAGTAATATTCTTATTGGAGCATACAATCAAGGAAGTGTAATGAAGAGGACAACAGGGTACAGGGTTACTTGCTAAGAGTTATGATTGGAAGAATCTGATGGACATTCATGGGCTGACAAAAAGAAAGCACTGAGTTCTGATGGGAGACTGCATAGTAAAACAGGGTGCACACTGAGCTTTGAGCACTATGGACATGTAGGTGATAGAGTAAAATGACTGGGAAAACTGGAAAGCTGTGATCAGCTCCATAGGAGCAATGAGAAAAATATGATGCCTCCTAGATAAAATTACAGTCTAGAAGTGCATGAACAATAGGATCTTCATGTTGCAATGATGTGCCTGTCTGAGTCTGTCTGTGCAGACTTTTAGCTAATCAAAAACTAGCATTTAATGAGTTGACATGAAGACATTTTGAGGTTTTTAAAAAATGCTTTTATGTAAGGAGGAGATTTAACTTTCCTTGGTATTACTATTTTATTAGATTCTTATGTCTACTATTCTACTTCCAATGTATTTGGCTTAGGTAATCATTGGAACCCAATGAAAACTTTGTTCCTGGTATTTGTAGAGATTGCTTGTCTGTAACGTAATGTCACAAGAGCAAATTCCATATCATAATTTTTCAGCACACTTTTCACAGAGGCATTCATTGCTACCACAGGCTGCAAAGATTGCTACGCAAAGGCTGGCTGCTTCCTTTAGTCAGAGACTTCCTTGCATTCAACCATGGGAACAACCAGGCTGTTCCCATTAAAGGGATCAGGTGTGCTGTTTCAGTAGTTCCAGTCTCAGCAGTCTAGTCATACAGGAAGTTTCAGCATGTGCATGCCCACATGGTGGGGGCCACAGGACCAGTGTGAGGTACCAGTGGATACTGTTGGCTGTGTAGTCTGAGCTCCAGAGTTCTTGGAGTAAGTAAATTACACGTGACAGCAGCCACTGGAGAGCTCCAGAAATTATCAGCTCGATGTTCCTTTTTATAGTTAATGTGAGCTGTCCATTGCTGTTCCTTGCTTGGCAACTTAAGGGAACAGAGTACCTTTTATGCTGTTTCCTTTCTCTTTTAGAAGGAATGAACTGCATGAACAAGAACCATGGTTGTGCCCACATCTGTCGGGAAACCCCAAAAGGTGGCATTGCCTGTGAATGCCGACCTGGCTTTGAGCTCACCAAAAACCAACGAGACTGCAAGTGTAAGTACCAGCAATGGGGACCTGTCACATTGAACTTCAGTCTTGATGCATTTTATTGGTTGGTGTTATGGACCAGGAAGGAGCAAGAAAAATACAAATCTGATCTTGTATCATAGGATTAAGATCTGATTAACTGAAACTGAGGGTTCTGGGTTTTCATTAAAAAATAAATTCTAAGTGGTGTAGTTGCACCTGCATATTAAAAGCTCCAGTATATTTAGTGCACTTTCCTGATTTAATAAAGGGGAGGCTTGAGGAAGGGTGACAAGACAGCAAAGTCACTGAATTGTGAAATCACCGTGTTTCTCTGCTGCTGTTAAAGGAATGAGCTGTTGATATTACTAAGGTGTCTTAAGAGGTGTAGTGACACCAATTCACCATTAAAGAAAAAATGAAATGAAATTGAGGGGGGGGGGCAATGGCAGGAAAAGAGACAGTAATGGACTTACCCACATACTAGTCATGTGGCACAAGGTACAAGTTCTCATACAAGTGGAGTATAAACAATGAAAGATTGGAGAATTAGGTGCAGTGTACCCTCTCCTTCCCTGTCGTTTTTGCTATAGCAGGTTATATGAGAAACTGCTGGTTTGGATGCACCTCACTTGTGGATTAATTATTAGGGCTTCATTGCCTGCTTGAGGACTGTTGTGGTATTTCCAAATGTGATAGATTTCAGGCAGAATAATTTCCTTAGGTAGTTTTTAAAATCTCAGCATAAAATGTCCTGAATATTCTTTTAGGTCCCTGCCACACAAGGGAGAAAAAGAACGGGCAAAGTGCGGCTTTTAAAAGCTGCACCAAAATAGGTACGCGGCGGCGGGATCATACAGATCCCGTGAGCCGCTGTGCAATTGCTCCCCAGCACGATCAGATGCCAGGGAGACTGGGGAGGAAGCCACGGGAGGCTGCCGAACTGCGCATGTCTGAGCATGCGCAGTTTGGCCAGGACCCGGGGATGCACTGGCGGAAGAACGCGCCGGCGATCCCACGGCCGGCTTTGATGCGGCCGTTCGGAAAGAACCACCTCAGTAGGTGGTTCTTTTTTGGTGCGGATTATCGCCGGAAGGGCCAGATCGGGGACGGGCGCGCAACACTTCCCAGATGTTGCGGTGGGATCGCGCCCGTTTTCTCCGCCCCCGATCCGTCCCTCTCCCGGCCCTAATCCTCTCGTGTGACCGGGGCCAAAGTTTAGTTTTTGTATACTATGCTCCCTCTAAGCTGTGGAGTCTTGTGAGCAAAAATTCAACTTTGTGAGCTACAAATTCAACTTTGTGAGCTACTGGCATTAAAGCTGTGAGTGAGCAATTTGGCTACTGCATAAATTAGTTTGCTCTGGAGCCATCCTTCCTGAGCTAAGACAAAAAATGTGCAAGTCAGAGGCTAGAAAACTGTGAGTTAGCTCACAGTAACTCAGCTTAGAGGGAACACTGCTGCGGATGAACCAGCTAGAATGTGTGGAATGAATATAAGATGAGTTCTATGCCAGTGGGCTGCTAGTTTCCATATGCTTTTCCCTGCCAACTAATTTTTGATCCATTATTGCTAGAAACAGGGTTCTTATTTGGATGAAATAGGTTTCATTTAGACATAATGAACATATGTGTGCATTACTTTGAAATCCTCAGGCCCATGCGCTCCCTCCTTCCCGCAATTATGGCTTACAGACCAAAGATTTCTCATTTCCCGAGAAACCATAGTTCACTGTGACATCTGAATTGGATGAAATGGCATATTGGTTTGTTCTCTTGCCTACAAATTGTGATACCAAACAAGGAATAAAATGTAGGTTGGAATAATGATTTGTAGATAAAAGACAAAGTGCTCAAAAGATGTATAAACAATGTGGTGTCTCTGTTCTGTGTCATCTTTTCCCTGGACTGTTTCTCTGCAGTTCTAGTTGTGCAATAAAACATGTACTAGGTATGCAGGTAACTTCCCATGTGAAGCACTCCTACATCAAAAGTAGGATATTGCTATAGGTTGTGTCATCCAAAAGGATATGGGCCTTTTGCTGACCTACTGGAGCAGGTAATCAACTTGATTTCATAAGTGACTCTGTGCTTTATGGGTTGGCATTTCCAGAAGACTGACAGCTTGGGACCATGATGATAGTGTTCTGAAGCAACTATTTACCTTTTTGTCTGATCTCTTGTCCATTGCAGTGACCTGCAACTATGGCAATGGAGGGTGTCAGCACACTTGTGATGATACAGATCAAGGGCCAAAGTGTGGTTGCCATGTCAAGTTTGTACTACATTCTGATGGGAAGACATGCATAGGTAGGTGAGAACTGTAATGCAAATCTTGGCTAAAAGTTTGCCTGTGTGTGGTATGTATATATTCTTGGTAGGCAGCAGAGTGTGGGACTTTCAAAGCAGTAATTCCGATGTATGGGGCTGCTTTAAATTATTATGGAAGTTCATAGTCTTGTACCAACTGCAATCTAGGTAAAGCCAAAGAAAATCTGTTATTGTAAGACCTAATTGTCTCAGGCCCTGCAAAAACCACTGTATGGAAGGAATAAGAACATAATCTAGGTTTAAACATGTCGTCTTTCCAAGGTGTCAGAAAGAAAGTAAAGCATCACAGTAATGAGTTGTCGACAGGCTACTTTCAACCTTCTTCCGCCATCCTTATTGGGAACAGAATCTGTATGTTCTTAAAATGATTCACCATTGCATCAAAAAGTCCAGTTGTCCTGTTATGATTTAGGATATTTGGAGGGAAATGGGGAGTTAAAATGGCCCTGTTCCAGAACTATATATGGACACGGAAGGATGCACCTGACCCAGACTGTGTGCCACATCAGTGGGAGGCAACATGCTTCTTGACTTCTGGACATCCACACAGCAACACTACTCTGTGGTAGTCTTGCTACAGCTGCAGATTCAGAGTTTCTGCATGGCAGGGTTTCCTGCATTTTCCCCAGCCATTCCCATTCCCCTGTGCCCCCAAAGGATTTCTTTCATGTTTTTAGATTTAAAAAATGGTAATTAACAAATTGCTATGATGTTATAAAGTTATAATGAATTCTCAGTTTGCATTTTGAAAACAAGTAACTTTCTAGCCCTTTTTGTTGCAGGGATATCCTTTCCCCCTTATATCTCTACAACGAATGGGGCTAGAGACTGCTTTTAAAAAATGAAAGGTGGGAATTTAGAGGCCCTGTTATAAAGTTATAAAGCTCAGTCACTGATTTTTTAAAAGAAAATGGAAAAGCCCCCTAGTGATGTGGGGGCAGGGAGGGAATGGCCTTTCTTGGGGACTGAAGTAGGGGAAATGGCACCAGTGTTAGTGGTAATGAGAAAGATCTGGGCTTTCTCATTTACACAGCAACCACCATGACTGTTCCCTAAAAGCTTGTAATAAAGCAGGCTTAGGAAAGATAGCAGGAAAGCTAAAGAAAAGCCAGAAGGTAAACAAGAGCACCTTGATACTTTGTGGAAGTGGGGGGAAAACCCCACTTCCCATCAGTCCCAAAGCCAGACCAAATATCAAGTGTGAAAGCAACATTTGTTACACAGCTTAGGTCAGCTGGAGTAATTGTTGATTGTGGGGGCACCTTACACATTTGAAGGGGTTTATGTAGATGCTGACCCACACTCACAAATGAGTGAGGAACTGTTTGGTTGCAACTCAGAGGATGTGGGTCAGTAGAGCAATGTGGTTTGTACAACCCCTACAGCTCAAAGGCTACCCACAATTTTCCCTGTACAGCCTCTTATCTTGACATGGGATATCTGGTACTTAAAACTTTTCAGGCCAGATGTGCTTACTTGGAAACTGTGCAGGGAAGGTGACTTCACAGTTTCTGTGGGCAACGTAGACCACCATATCCTTAGAGTTAATAGGGGGTTCTTTTTTCTTCAAATTTCAGCTTCAATCTACTATGCTATAATTTTGTGTTTTGCACTTGTTTCATATTATAGGTAAAGCAAGGTTCTTGTTTTTCTGACTGCTGTAAAATGTATAAAAATTGCCATTGTGCTGCTCCTTCCCTTTAATCTTTTTACCCCTAGGGTGAACATGCACATTTTCTTCTGTCTGCATATGACTTGCCTTTTAGACTTTTTCACTTCCCACATAGCTTTCCTCTGAATTGTGTTGTTTGATGCAAATATTCTGCTTCAACACAGTTGCTGTTTAAATAAAAGAACTGCAGGAACAGAGAACCTTCTGTAGCATCTGAAATGCTACATGGTCTTAATGGTGGCTGTATACATATCTCCCCACCAAGGAGAAATATGTCTATGCAAATTTGGTTCTCCTGTCCACTTTTCCTTTCTTCTTTTGCTTTCATAATCTCTGTGAAAGCTTCCCTCCTTTGTTTTGAATCACTTCAGAAGCCAGACCTGCAGGATGGGAGGTTTAACTCCCAGTCATAGCATAAACATGCTATCACGTGCAGCCTGACAGGAAGAAATTAAGCAAGTGAAGTTTCCCCCTAGCAAGGTTATGAAGAGACGAGCAAAGCTTCACTTGCCTAATTTCTTCATGCTAAATTACACAGGAGCATGGCCAGGAACTAAATGTAGTAACCCTGCAAACAAGGAAACTTTGGAAGCCAAAGGAATATGAGGCAAAGGGTCATAATTGTTCCCTGGTCCAAAACTAAGGTTTCAGTGCTTTTCTCATAGAAAGGGAAAGTTCCACTAGCACTGCTATATGGCAATGGGAAAAACTACACTGAATGTTATTCTCATTTCTCAGCAGCCTTTACAAGCATAGGGACTCTCTTCAGGAAGTTGGGTGTGGAAGCTCTGAGGGAGCAGCAAAGTTCAAGAGACAGTGAGCAGGCAAAATGAATTTCACAAACTGATTTGACCTTTCCATCCAAATCTACTGTGGAAAGAGGGGGGAAAGTGAAGCTTGGACCTGTGTCCTTTTAGCCAGGTTCCCCCTAATTCTTAATGAATAAAGAAAGCTTTCCAATTTCACTATTCAGCTCACAATGAGTCAGCAACTTTTGAATAATCTGTGACATGACTGCAACAGTTCTGTGTGTTTAAACATGTGAGTGTCCCACTCGCATAAAAAAGAGGAAGAGGTCCATTTCTAGAGAGCATAGAGAGCTGTAGAGGGCCTAGATGATGGTGGCTGTACTTACTTCTCACCATCTTTCCTCTCATTCTCCTCTGTGTAATCTGTCCTTCCCCCTGTGCTTTTCTTTTTCAGCAGAGCTCTGGTATGGGGAGAGCAGCTATAGGAATTAAGTGGCAGATACCGGGAGGATGCAGTGCTGTACCCCTTTCCTGTTTGCCTTGGATTGCGAACTCTAGGTTGGGAAATTCCTGGAGATTTGGGGGTGGAGCCTGGGGAGGGTGGGGTTTGGGAACCCCACTGAAAGGAGGGATGTCAGTGGGGTATAATGCCATAGAGGCCATCTCTGGAGATGCCATTTCCTCCAGGAGGACTAAGCTCTGGAATCTGAAGATCGATTGTAAATCTGAGAGATCTCCAGGCCCGTTCTGGGGGTTTGCAACCCTGTATGCCTCTTTATTTTATCAGTTGCCATTGTTGCTCTCTGATCTCTCCCTCATTGCATTTGGCTGGGACGCAAGTAAAAAACCATGCCTTTCTGTAAAGAAAAAAAGCTTTTTGAATCTGGTATCTCTTCCATCTGAAGTAACTAGAGACAGTTCAATTACATTTCAAAAAGGTCAAAGCTCTCTTCCATCTGAAGTAACTAGAAACAGTTCAATTACATTTCAAAAAGGTCAAATATTTAACATTCAGATTTAATCTTAACAGGAAAATAGGCAAGTGGAATGGACTGAATTTCTGCTGTACCCTGTATGCCAGGAAACACTACATTAACTATAACTGTGGTCATATATATGCATTCCGGAGTGAATGTGCCTTCTGTTTGCCCCAGGACATATGAGATGGGCATATGAAGGGCATGTCTGTTGGGACTTGATTGCATTGACCAATCATGTCTCATTCCTAGAACCATCAAAAAAAAAAATGATGATTTGCACTCTGATCCTTCTTAGTGCACATGGCAGATACAGGGGATGTTAGCATGGGTGGCATGGTCCATATGGACGAGTGTTTTACAAATCCAGTGCCGTTTTGATACCTTCTTTATTTTGGGTTCTTTCCCCGTGTCTCCTGTTGAAGTACCACAATCGATAGCAGTACCGAACACCTCTGCTTCAGCTATTCATTAGGAATTCAAAGGACTAAGTCTTCCTGTCCCTATGAGAGGGCAGCAGATGAGCTATTGAAGTACAAAAGCTGCGTGTAAAGGAACATCCTCTCTCTGCTGGCTGAAATCATTGCTGCCTTGCCACATTTCAGCCTTCCTCTGTAGACTATAACAGATGGAGATTTTTTTCCTGTGACTGCAAAGGTCCAAGCTAAAATGTGATTGCTTAATACTAAAGATGCAGGATTATGCTCAAAATGTTTTGAAATCCTTAGAAGTAGTGTAACAAGGATAGTTTCAGCTTCATTTAGTAGACACTGCAATAGTTATCTGGGAGTACTGTGCCTTTTTGGCACATATAATATGTTATTTAAATTTTGGTTGCAAACAGAGATAAAGGATCAATGCTGAGACTGAAACAATTGCAGGAATGTTTGGTACCTTGTATAAACTCTGGAACCATGTACTTTCGAACAAAACATTCGTTTTGAATGTATATATTATATTGATTTTGTTCATTTCCATTCTCCGGTGGTCCAGGAGTGGGGCAGTTCTTCGGACTCCTTACTCCTGGGACGCTCCTCCCTCCTCCGAAGGCAGGGCCGGCAGACTCTTCAGGCACGGAGGGGGAGGGGCTTGTCCCCTGGAACCCAGTCTCTCCGGCCCTGCCTTCTGAGCAGGACATGGTAGATCGTGCTCCTTGAGAACACAGAAAATAAAAGAAGAAGAAAGAAGGCACTAGAAGACTCCAGGAGGAGGGTGGTAACAGGTAGCAGTTCAGCTTCCCTGTCTGCTCAACCCCTCCGTTCCTCTCCTCCTCATCCGAGCCGCAGAGAGACGAGCAGCTGTAGGCGCTGTCAGACCTGGGCAACCCTTGGGGAACCATGGCACCACTGAGACCTCCGCTACACTGCCAGTTGTGGAGGGGGACTGGTGTGACATGTCTCCACTCTCTTCCCACAGGGAGCCTCAGAGACAAGTGGAGGGGTCTCCAACGATGATGCGGCGAAAGCACCTGTGAGAGGGCAGCTGTCACCAATCATCTGCGGTCGGCTCCCTGTCCCGGTGTCGATGTGGGAGGCTGGACAGACCACCTGGCCACGACAGAGCATAACATGGCTGCCAAGT